TATTGTATTGTACACGACTATGCTTGTTTCTTGTGTATTACGAAGAAAGTGGTGAATCTGCACGTAAAGCAGTATATTACTTATAGTACTCCAATTTTATCAGCACCATTAGAATGATTTACTTTTAAGAAAATCCTATATCAAACGACATACGACTTATAGGATAAAGACAAACTAAATAATGGTTTACTTCCTTAATTTTAGAAATTCTCATATTTGTATCCCTCACTTAAACATGTCATGATTTTGATTATATTTCTGTAGGTGAATTATTATCTTTAGTTCATTTTATCCTGTTGTGATTTAGTGTTCTTCAGTTAAAACAAATTAATACATAAATCTCCTCGACTATTTTAGGTGAAAGCCTAAGAATTGCCACATGCTGTTTGAAGAAACTATAGAAATCAGAAGATTTTATAGAAATCTCCTAGAGATATGGAATTCCTTACTACTCTTGCAAATGATATTACCGGTTAAGTGAATGCTATTATCTTGGCTAATTATGGCATAATTTTCTAATGTATGCGAAACCTACTCCCGTAGTGAATCAACTATACTTGTAATTAAGCCATACCTACTCTCATGGTTATGAAATTAACTAAAGCTCATTTTTTATGAAATTATAAGAAACAAGTCACCAAAGCCACATAGGTGTTCCTTCTACTCTCATGAGTGAACTCTCTAGATTTATCACTTCCTTGAACTAGTGTTAAATTTCAATTCTCATTGCAAAGTTAACATCTTAAGATTATCCCAATTAATGGCCAGTTAATCATGATTAGTTAAGCAAAAGTGACAAATAACTTGTTCAAAATAATATCACTAAATAACAAAGTAAACATCACTAATAAAATATAGCAAGTTCATCCATACTCTAGGCATAAACTTTAGAAACACATATTGAAACACAAATCCAAAACTTGCATATTAACCATACTTAAGAATCTAATACAAAAGATAAAGAGTTGGAGAAGAGATAACCCTTGTCACATGAGTTTCGACCCCTCTTTCTTCATCTCCATCTTCATTCTAATCTAGCCAATATACAAGAGTGGATAACACACATAACTAGCTAAAGTATTCTATACTATACTAACCTAACTAATGAATTAAGGAAATTCTAATGAAGATTACATTTTTGATGAGTTTCTCTAGCCTTCTAAAGTTTTTAAAATGGTCTCCAAAGGCTGCTATTTATAGAGAATTCAAGTTCAAGATAAGTTGTTTCTTGGTTGGCAAAGTTGGCTTTTGAACTCACCAAGAGTTGTTCTCCAAGTTTCCACACTCTTCTTGGTTAGATACAGCTGAACTTCTAAGTTGTAGATGAGTCAAAAAGGTTGTGTGAATGCAAAACAAGTTGTAGCAGAGAACCTAGAATACGCAACCTATTGTATCCCACGTATTACCTTTTGCAAGTTTGCACTTTCTAGGCAGAATTCATCCTTGTTCTGTTTTTTATCCAACTTCAACTAATATTTCCTCAATAATGGAGGCTGAACTAGCTCTTGAACAAAACATGAAAGTGAATTAACTTTCCAATGCCTCAAGAATCATTCAATGTGGAGCTCTGTGGACCGAGAAATAACCAAAATACCCTCGACTGGTCAGAGCTCTATTTTAGCTTTCGACCATGAAAATGTACCTCTGTATTTCGATGTTTTGACTAGGAAAATGACTAAACTGGACTTCTATCTCTCATAGCAAATGGAAATCTATCTCTTAACTTCAAAAATGGTACAAGAATCACTTCAATCTGATACTTATAGCTCAAGATATAGGCAAAATACCACAGGGTATCAAAACTGTGAAACTTCCTTCTTGTATACCAAGTTGCATTTCATCTCTTGCACTTCATATTCTCTTTTTACCACTTCAAACCATCATCAATCATCCAATTATCTTTTTAACTCGTTCTATTTGATGATTGAATTTTTAAACCTACAAAAACATGCAGCTTTCACTATTAAAATCCATAAAAATACAATTTTTAATACTTAAATCATAAAATGTATATTTTCACTAAAAACTTAGTTCATTAGTCATAAAAATAATTAAAACACATCAAAACTAATTAATAAAACACACTAAAAACATGTAATACACACTTATTATGTGCCATACATCCAAAGTTGCACATGTCGCTTGAGGATCGTTTTCCTTCACGGACAAATTGATGAAGCACTAGGGGATCTGCTGCTTCTCAAATTGACATACAAATGCGTGAACTACCACTCTGAACTTGCAACAGAATGTTGGTATTAAATTGTACACAGACAAATTGATGAACTGCACTAGGGGATCTGGCTTGTCAGCTTGACATACATATGCCTGAAGTACCACTCTGAACTTCCAACAGAATGTTGGTATTGTATTGTACACGACTATGCTTGTTTCTTGTGTATTACGAAGAAAGTGGTGAATCTGCACGTAAAGCAGTATATTACTTATAGTACTCCAATTTTATCAGCACCATTAGAATGATTTACTTTTAAGAAAATCCTATATCAAACGACATACGACTTATAGGATAAAGACAAACTAAATAATGGTTTACTTCCTTAATTTTAGAAATTCTCATATTTGTATCCCTCACTTAAACATGTCATGATTTTGATTATATTTCTGTAGGTGAATTATTATCTTTAGTTCATTTTATCCTGTTGTGATTTAGTGTTCTTCAGTTAAAACAAATTAATACATAAATCTCCTCGACTATTTTAGGTGAAAGCCTAAGAATTGCCACATGCTGTTTGAAGAAACTATAGAAATCAGAAGATTTTACACTTAGTCGGCGGAATGCACTCAAACAATAAGTCAATATGCTACTTTGTATGATTTATAAAGGCCACAGAACACCCAAAAGAAAAACCCTTTAAATTTTGGATTGCATGCAATTGCTTGAAAAGTTTGAGAAGATTTACATATCTCCTTGTTATTTTGAAGTTAACATGGATTCCAGGCATGCAAATGAGTTGGTTTTGACATTCGGAACTAGTGATTTTTTTTCATAATCACACCAAAACAAACCCTCATGAATTTAATGCTATTATAGTAAAATTAGTCATGCATGTATCGGAATAAAAATTTTTGTTTAGGAACCCATCCAATGATCCAAATGGATCACCGATAATACTAATTTCATACTGTCTCTCTATAGCTTTTTTAGTACGAAGGTATGACTTGATAAAATTCAGTTGATATATAATTTCCATTCCGGAATCTAGAACGAATGCAGTTGTTGAACTTAATGCACATGAGGAGCTCAGGCATTTATGTGTAGAGATCAACAATCAAATCATTGGTCTTGGACAATATACGTAACCACTGATTTTAGTGGCTTTTTATCATAAATTCACTTTGCTATTTTCTTTGAGACTTATAAACTGTATAAATTGCTTAGATATAGCCATGATACTGTATATATGAGAATTCTTTTTGGGCTTTTTTTGCAAATGTGGCATACCTGAGTCTAAATCCTAGTTTATTATGTGTGAATATATTCAACAGTCCCTCTTAGTCTCTCCACCACCTGCTAATTTTTTATGTTGTTATCCTCTCCCAGCGACCTTATTTAATTTGCCAGACAATTTGGTACATCTTGAAGGAATGGGCAGCCCACATAATTTTCCAAATAATTCTTCTGCTACTTCCAGGATGCCTTAAATCCAATTTCCAGTCTTTGAAGAACTTTAGCACTCTTCAGGGAGCACTCTGTCAACTTGTACTGGTATGTTTTGGCCATCAATATTAGAAGAATGGGACCCTCTTAACTTGATCAGTAAAATCCAGAAGGAGGTCTCTTTTGCTTTTCATTTTTAAAGTGATATCAGCACAAAGCCTATAGTCAGTCAATACTGTATCATACAGGTAAGCACTTTGTGTAGTTTATATTTTTTGAATGAGTCCTTGCAAACTAGTCTTGCACTTGCAGTCTTGTTCGGGAGCTACAAGATGTTGACTACGTTCAAAAAAAAAAAGAAAAAGAAAATGTTGGTTGGCCATTAATTATTGGCCAAGTTGAGAAAATCAGGTACTGGTAAATATGAGTCAAATGTTCATGTCTTTCAGATCACGCTCAAGATGAATAATTATTGGGTCCTCAAATTCAAGAGACAAGTCCACTTCATTAAATATTCCGAGATTTCTCGGAATATTTAAGAAATCTTCTCCCGTTGACGGATTTAAAGAGTTAACAATTATGCTATTCCTCCCTGCTACTGATCAAGACTACCATATGATTAGAGGATGCATAGTATAAATCAAGACTGGCGAAGAATGGTGGCTACTGAGTTTTACCAAGCTGGCCTTCTGCAACTTAATCAGGCAAGTCGTCTTACGAATTTAACAGAGTTGCATGGTTTTAATTTCTTCCCAGTCTCTTCCGGTCGCTTTCTATGTCTTTTAAATTTGAACTGATTTTGAATTTCAATTACCTCTAACTTAAGTTTTAATTTTTGGGCATACAACACTGTGCACTTCGCAAGTTTCTGAGTAGATGTAAACAATACTTGATTCTTATTCTATTGTCTACTAAAAGTGGTTAGAGACGATTTATGACAAGCAGAAAAGGCCATGGACAACCCATAACTGCAGAATATCCAGTTCTTGTGAGGTGGTATCCGTTAAAATTGATAGCTTGATGCTGGGATGGGATGCAGGGCTAGGATTAAAAGGTTAATTAGTTGGATTTTTACACCTGGAGAGTGTATATTTGTTGTACGACAGATAAAAATGCTTGTCTGTATGCAGATTGTATGAGCAGATTGTGGCTACAAGCCTACAATTGAGTTAAAGGCAATTTTATATTAGTACCTGCTTTCTTACTGCATTGTGATAAGGAGGAATCAGAGAGCCTGCTGTCTCAGCCAATAAGAAATGTGAGTCAAGTTGCAGGTTGGCTCACACATGCAATTGTCGGCAACTTCCTTTGATAACAGAGGCTGTGATCCGTAAATCACGGACACCTACTAAAAGCTGTCTTTAGAGTGTATTTGTGGTCCACTTGCAAAGGCGGACAAATTTGAAAGTCGACTTGCAAATTTCATTCCCTCTGATAGCTGCTGAAGTTGAACCATATCCTTCCTTGTCCCATCACCATTGCAGAACACTTTCAACCTAATTCCAATCCCAAGCGAGAAAAAATGGCTGATGCTGCTGTTAGTGCTACTATTCAGGTTGCATTGCAGACGGTGGTTTCCCTTGCCGCTGACCATGTTAATCTGGTTCGTGAATTCCCAAAGGAGCTGGAGCGACTCAACGAATCTGCTGAAATGATCCGAGGTTTCTTGGCTGGTGCTGACGAGGAAATGCATAGCCCAGTGGTGCAAAATTGGCTCAGGCGGCTGGAAGAAGAGGTTTTCAAAGCAGACAATGTGCTGGACGAGCTCAACTATGAAATTCTTCGTCGGAGGGTGAAGTATCAAGATCAACCCATGCAAAAAAAGGTATTCTTCTGCTTTTCATTCTTTAATAAAATTGGTTTTCGTTGGAGGTTGGGTTCCATGATCAGGGAGATCAACACGAACCTTGAAAGGATCCATCAGAATGCCGAACGTTTGGGACTGCCCTACAAGCTCCAAGTTGAAGAAGCATTCCCTACTATTGCTGCTGGAGCCGCGACAAGCCGACAGACCGACTCTACTATTGTTCGAAGTGATGTCCTGGGAAGAGACAAGGATGAATCAGAAATAGTTAATAAGTTGTTGGCCGAATCTGAAAGTGTTATTTCAGTTATTTCCATAACTGGCATGGGTGGATTAGGCAAAACAACTCTAGCCAAAGCCATTTACAAAAATGAACAAATTGTTGGACATTTTGACCAAACAATGTGGGTTTGTGTGGCCGAAGAAGTAGATAAAATCGAGGAGGTCTCAAAATGATTCTAAAATCGATAACAGATGAAGAGATTGAAGGGGATCGTAGGGAGGAAATAGTTAAAAAAATTCAGCATGAACTCAAGGAAAAAAGATATTTCCTTGTTCTTGATGATTTATGGAATGATCAAGAAGTATTGTTGGATGACTTTTTCAGCACTTTGGCGGGACTCAATGCGAAGAAAGGGAGCTGGTGTCTTGTTACTTCACGGCTGCAAGAAGTGGAAACTATTCTGTCTAGACATCCGCAGATCAATTTTACTCGCCATGAGCTGGGAAAGCTATGCGCTAATGATTGCTGGTCTATCATGAAAAAATGGGCAAATGTAGGGGAAGAAGTACCAAAAGAATTGGAAGACATGAGGGAGCAAGTTTTAAGAAGATGTGATGGTCTACCTCTGGCAGCAAAGTTAATTGGAGGTTTGTTATCTAAAAAGAGAAAAGAGGAGTGGCTATCTATTTTGGAGGAGAGTCTCTTGAATGGCAATCAAGGTGGGATCGAGCAAATAATTAAGGTGAGTTTTGATCATCTGTCACCTGCACCGGTTAAGAAATGTTTTGCATACTGCTCAATTTTTGATCAAGATACTAAATTGGAACAAGATCTACTAGTTTGAGCTTTGGATGGCTGAAGGCTTTCTTCAACCGGATTCCCAAAATGAAAGAACGATGGAGAAAATAGGATATGAGTATTTGAGAACTTTGCTGCAAACTTCCTTATTGGAAGAAGTAAAATGGGGGTGGAGAAAATGGTATAAAATGCATGACCTTGTGCATGATTTTGCAAAATTAATTTTGAATCGTAACAGCAGCAATCAGGAACGTTACCTTGCAGTATACTCAACCGTAAGAGAAACCATCAATGAAAGATCATCAGCATCACTTCGCACACTATTTCTGAAGGGTGGCATAGCTGATGATATGTTGTCAAAGTTCAAATACTTGCATGTCCTAAAATTGTTTGGAGCAGATGTCAAAGAGTTGCCTACCTCCATTGGCAAACTAATACATTTACACTTACTTGACATTTCAGGTTCTTGGATTAGAACTTTGCCAGAATCTCTTTGCGAACTTTATAGTTTGCAAACACTGAGAACTGGCAAGCTTGAAGAAGGTTTTCCAAAGGAGATGAGCAATTTGATTAGCATGAGACATCTTCACTATGATCATGCTGGTACAAGACGTGAAATCCAAATGCCATCCGGGATTGGACGATGGACTTGTCTTCAAACGTTAGAGTTCTTTAACATTGGTCGTCAAGAGGAAGGTCGTGGCATCCAGGAGCTTGGGACCTTGCAAGATCTTAAAGGCTCCTTGGAGATCAGAAATCTTGAATTAGTAAATGGCAAAGCTGATGCTGAACTAGCGAACCTATCTAAAAAGCCAAATCTGTATCGGTTGGTATTTGAGTGGGGCAATAGGGATCGGGAAAGTAATAAATGCGATGAAGATGTGTTGGAAGGCCTCCAACCTCACCCAAATTTAAAAGAGTTACAAATTTTGAAGTTCATGGGTGATCAGTTCCCACAATGGTTCATGAATTTGACATCACTGGTGGAGTTGCGGGTGGAGGATTGCACAAGATGCAGAGAACTCCCCACCCTAGGACAGCTGCCATTCCTCAAGCGCCTCTATCTGTGTCGATTGCAAAACATAAGAAGCATTGGGCTTTCATTCTACAGTACAAGTGCTGAGGAGGACGGCGGTTCAGGAGGTTCAAGCACTATTAGCAGACAAACATTCTTTCCAGCCCTTAAAAAACTCTCTCTTAAAGGCATGAAAAATTTGGAAGAGTGGAAGGATGCACCCGAAATGATGTCAACCGCAGGTGAAGTACATGTGATGGATGTGTTTCCCGTGCTTGAAAAGTTGTCTATTAGTGACTGCCCCAGCTGACCACGATTCCAACTGCAAGTCGCTTCCCAAGTCTTGATGTATTGAAAATAAAAAGGAATTGCCATGTTCTGCGGGCAGAAAAGGTTTTGAGCAATATAGCCAATCTCTCGTCCCTTGAACTAAGGGGTGGTAGTCGTCAACGCATTGAGTCTCTAAAATTAGTGAAACGACCAGAGAGCAGCTTGAGTATTTATGGCTGTGACAGTCTATCCACTGACATGCTTGAGCGACTCTGTCTTTTTCCAACTCTTCAGAGTGTAGAATTGTGGTCTGCCGATAATATAACAACATTAAGAGGAATGAGTTGCGCCGCTTGTCTTAAGAGATTGGCAGTCTTTTACTGTGATAATTTACAGGAGTTGCCAGAAGATTTTTATCAATTTCAAGCTTTAGAGCACTTGGAGATACTCTGTTGCAAGAGAATTGATTCATTTGGATATCCAAATCCTAAAAATTCATTTGGACAGAAAGGCCTCCTTAAGTCTCTTGAGCAATTTACTGTCGATGGGTGCGATGCATTAACAAGATTACCAGCGGAGATGTTCGAGTCGTGTACGTCTCTCCGAAAGCTGAAGTTGTCCGATTGCTGGAGTCTGGTCTCCTTTCCCCTTGATTTGCGACAAACCCCTTCTCTCGAGAGCTTCCGGTTACGGGGGTGTCCCAACTTGATTGCTGAGTTGCCTAGTGGATTTGGCTATCTTACCAGCTTAAGGAAAGTGACGATTGGTCCTTCTCAGATGACTCTGTAATCGAATTTGATTGGGCTGGATTAGCATCTTCATCATCACTCCGACACGTGTCTTTACTTGGAACGCCTGAATTGAAATCTCTGCCACATCAGCTTCAAGACTTGACTACCATCACATCACTATCTCTAAAACACTTCGGAGCAATCGAAGCCTTACCAGATTGGCTTGGGAACCTTGCGTCTCTTGATGAGCTAATCCTATTCGGTTGCGAAAAGCTTGAATATTTACCCTCCATAGATGCCATGGAACGCCTCAAATTAAGACGTCTGGAAATTCGTTTTTGTCCTCTATTAGAACGAAGATGCACTCCTCAAAGCAGCTCCGAGTGGCCCAAGATCTCTAATATTCCAGAGCGTAGAATTATTGTTCCGGTAAGATCTCATCTCAAAATTTTAATTAATTCCTTCTCATTATTGGATCATCTTATTCTACCCGTATTTGTCCCTCACTCCTTTTCTCCATAAATATCTATTCCTCTACTTCTTCTGGCGAAGATTACTCTCTCTTTCAATTTTTAAGCCAATTCATGTCATTAACAAAATAGAGTTACAAGCAAATTGAAAGACAACAAAAATTGTGGATTTCATCTGCTTTTCTGAACCATCGAAAAGATTAATAAGCATGGTAAAATTTACTACTATATATGAACTTGGTACTGACTGTTTGCCCACAAAATTCACTAACATTGCAAGCGTAAACATTCAGCTTCAATGGGGTATGTTCTTTTTTTTTTTTTTTTTGTTACTGATATTTCCAAACAACATTAAAACCAATGAAATAGCAATTTGGGGAGAACATTACAATTTTTGTTTTTACCGCTAGCATTTAACGGATGGATATGTTCTTAATATTCACTGTTATCTCTCTGTAAGACTCTGAATTATGATTGCCGTAAAATTAGCTCAATGTCGATTAAGTTGAAATTGTTTGCAGAGGAACTAGGCTGCTGCTAAAACTATAAATTCTTATCATCTTTTAAAATTTTAAAATTCAGATCCTATAACTAGCTACTTTTCTATTTTGTGAATTGGATTGATAATATTATGGCCTTGTAGGCCACAAGTGTCAGTGAAGCAGCAAGCAGTGATAGCGCCGAAACATTGTGAAAGGCTCAAAAGTGTGCTCCAGGCAGAGTCAGCCTGGAACCTCTAGAGCATCTTATTTCACTTTTCGCATTCTCCAACCGCAACATCAGGCTGTGGTTTCCAATCATTTTTGAAGAAAGATGAGGAGGTATGTGGTTTGGAAATTTCTCCACCCAACTTACTAGAAGTACAAGGGAATTGGTCCAAGTTTGCAAGTATGTTTGAGACATGGAATTGTGCCTAAATACAGGTTGGTATCTGCACTAGTAAGTGTTCTTTATGGTTTAATCAATGGAATATAACTTGATTTTTGCTCTTTAGGATTTTGAGTGATAAATTGTTGCACGAGTTACCTGACCAAACCTTTCTATGGCTCATATTTCTGCTTAATGTCATAACTGAAGCAGAACTGTGATGTAATATTGTTATTTTTTTTCCAGAATTTGTTTAGGAAGCAGAGTACGTGTTTTTTGGACAAAGAACACCAACGTTCCCGTGTTGTTCTTATGAGAATGTCAAGAGGGAGGAGTTATTTTCACTTATCAGTCAGTTTTTGAAGATGGAAGGTAGTTATCTGTGATTTTTCCCACTAGAATGCCATATATTGCTCAGAATGTGGAAATGAAGGTAAAAAATGTTGACTGCATGTCTATTGGCCTGTTTCAATGGCTTTTCTTTTTTGTTTTTTATCTTTTTCTGGAAGAATTTAACAAAATAAATCAAATATTGAACCTTTTCTCCTTGTAGCATGCTGAAAACAGAGTGGCTTGTGCCAGGCTTGTAGAAAGTAGTATGGATTGAGAAGAATTAGAGAAGAGCATGGTAGCTGGTACTGGAGAGCTATCAAGGTACAAGACTTGCTTGAAGAAAACTGGACGTGCTAATACTTTAGTTTCAGAGGTAACAAGATTTGATGGAAAGAAGTTAGACATTGTAGACAGCATTGGTGATCGTTTGGATGACATAAACGAAGCATGCGATTGCAGTGTCAGTCGTTCATTTGGATGGAAATAGTTCAAAGTTTTGGTGCTGCAATTGCAGTAGCAAGAATTTCTACATCCTCGTTCAAAGGTTCCCGCCAGATCTTGCAAGGCCTTTGTAAATTGGACAATAGGTTATACCTTTCCACTCAAGAACAAGAGAGACTCATTATACAACTGTGCTAACAGTTAGTCATTCCAGGTACCAGGCTTAGTGTTGAATTTGTTTTAGTAAAATAACGTACCCTAAGTACCTTCTTGGTTCTTAACTAAATTATTTTGACATGTCTACTTCAAGATAAATAGTCACAATCCAAAAAATTGCAGTTTGAATGATCAATAAGCAGGTTTTGTTATTGTAGCATTCTATTTGTTATGTTTTAGCTAAGAAAGACTAGCAAATCTAAAAATAATTTATAATTATTAAGAAACCACTTGGAATATGTAACATTTCGGAAGACTAATGGAGGTGGGAGATCAATGATAAATGTTTCACGTGAAGTTCTCCAACATGGTTTCACCTAATTAGAGGTACTCTGCCATAAAGTATCTGCTTGTTAGGTTAAATGAGCATGTTTCAGCATGCCCATTCAATGGAAGTTGATAAATTACTCTTAAGAATTCAAGGAAGAAGGAAACAACTTCCTAACACTGAAAAGCTATTGACATCCATTACCTATTTCTTTTTGCAAACGGTTATCCTTTTCTGATTTTTGTTTGGCCCAAAGATTTTAGTCGGTCAGGAGAAATCAGTCGGCTAAAAGAAGTTAATAAGAGAATTTATGAATGCTAGTGCATGAATATAAATTTTGCATTTTTTTTTCAGATTAGTTTGCCAAACTCCAGTTTAGTACATCATTTTAGAAAGAGACGAAAGATTATCATCTTACTCTTTCTTTAACATTTAGTTAAACATTTAGCTTTGATAATCACTTTATTTTCAAAAGAATCACAAGGACATTTATGCAAATTCGATTGACTTTTGTTACCATTACTTTCTTCTGGGCTGGTTAATGCTCTGTTTTTTAGCCTTTCATTTTTGGTTATCTAGTAGATTGGTGATTTTGCCATCCTACTTGCATAAGGACTTGCTCATGATAAAATATTTATAGAAATATCTATTTTAGCATTTTAGACAAATGTCTCATGGGCTATGTTGGAACATGTACAAAGCAGTGATTTTCAAGCAAAAATGTATGGATGGTGATGTGGTAGACAATTGTTCTCTTAAGGAGTGAAGATCAATCTTCTAGAAAGCAATATATGAGAGAGTAAATGAAGAGGTGTGTAGTCTCAATGGATTAAATTTAAAGGCCTACTATGTTTCTGTTGCTGTTGCCATAACTTCAAATCAACCACATACAAAAGCTATGCTCTGAATTTAGTATGCGTTTTTGATGATATAATTCTGCTTAATTTTTGCTCTTTAGAAATTTTTGTAATACATTCTTCATAAATTTTGATGGTTCAACGTGGCTAATTTTGCACTTAATATTACCGTAATGTAACATGGTGATGTTTTTTTCCTGAATCTATTTAGGAAGTAGATATCATCTTGTTGGAAAAAGAACAACATGGTTCCCTGTCGTTTTTTTGTGAGAATGTCAAAAGGAAGAAATTAATGTCACTGAGCAGGAAGGTTTTGCAGATGAAGATGGTTACCAATTACAGTTATTTTGCTCATTAATTTGCACTAGCATTGATGGAGGCTTCTCAAACACCATGTAGAAAAACTGAAAATGTTATGTTTTGTAGTGCCCGAATGCAGAAAAGAAGGTAATTATTTGACTAAACTTTTTGTTAGCCTGTTTCGATTTTTTTTTCTTTATCTATCTACTGGAAATGTAATTTGGTTTAGAAGAAGAGAAGATTTGGTAATGGAAGCTAGATGTTGAAGATAGCAGTAACAGTCATTCGGAAAGCAAAAGCAAAGCATGTAGTGGGATGGAAGAAATTCAAAGATTATGTGCTGCAAGAATATGTATTCACATGCAAGGGTTTCTAAGTCCTCGTTCAAAGGTTCAAGGAAGCACTACCGCTAGATCATGCAATGCCTTTCTCAATTGGACAATGGACTATACCTTTCCACCCAAAAATAAGAGAGATTCATGATACACTTGTGCTAACAGTTGATTATTCCGGGTGTCCAACCTAGTTAGGTGTTGAATTTGTCAAGGTAAACTAACATATATTTACCATAGTACCTTGTCGGGTTTTAACTTTTTTTTTATTTGAATAGTAGAAAATTAGAAATTTTTAACTTAAATAAGCAATAAATAGGTGCTTTTCAAGTAGCATTTTTTTTGTGCTTTAGCTAAGAAAGATAAGTAGACTTAAGAAGTTTTACCAAGAAACTCTTTTAAAATATCTGACATTTGTGAAGACCAATGAATGTGGTAAATCAATAGTAAATGTTACTCAAGGAAGTTTTTCAAGGTGCTTCATTCCACTTGATAGAGATACTGTGCTACAAGTCTATTCTGCTAAGGTTAGATGAACATTTTTTCAGCGTAGCCATTGAAATGAAGTTGGCAATTAACTCTTAACAAATTCAAGGAAGAAGGAAACTACTTGCCGACATTTATAGAATTGCGGCATTCTTTTGCTGCTTCTTTCTGAAAAAGGTTATCTTTTACTAGTCCATTTTTGTCCTAAATATCTTAGTGTACTATCAGTCTGCTCAAAAGAAAGCCCTTAGAGGCTAAATCTGTTGATTATTTGTTTTGAATTACAATGCATGAATATCAATCATGACTTTTTTCCTTGGGTTATTATGCCAAACTAGTTAAGATTAGAACCTCACTTTGTAAGCATAGGAAGGATTATCATCTCACTGTTCTTCCGAGTTTTACATAGACATATAGCTTTCATTCTCATGTTCTATTAACATTGACAATATGCAAATTTTATTGCCCTTGCTAATTGTTGAATTCCGTTTTAGATTCATCTAGTAATTACTTAGAATGATCATCTTTCCATTACTAGTTGCTAACAGTGTTCTTTGTTCATTGTCAACTCTATATCCAATATCTGTATCAATATTGAAGACAATCAGTGTCTAATAGGCTTTGTTGGAACATGTAGGAAGCAGCAGCTTTCGAGTTAAAGTGTATGAATGCAGTCTCGATGAATTACAGGTTTACTTTTTTTCTCTCGAAGTTGGCATGTCTTTCACACACATATGGAAGTGCCCGACCTTTCATGTATTTTGCAGGTTTCTTCTGATCTGATTTGCTTGAGACAAGGGAAAGCATATGAAGGAACCATTTAGCTGGCATGGCTGAGACCTGTAGCCAATTTGGTTGATCTTGGTTCCAGTTTAAGCTGTCTGGATTGCTCTTTGTCAATCTCATGAATATGGATCTCATATCAATGGAAGCATTGAAAGTATGAAGATGAGAAGGCAAGAATACCGGTAGCTAGCTGTTGGATTGTAGGCATGTAAAAAATCTTAACTATACTAAAATTGTCACCCAAATAGCTGGCTAGAAGGCATATATTACTCTAGCTTGGCCTACAGAGAGATAAGATTTGAGGTTTTAATGTGATCTAGAGCTTTTAGCTTTTGAAATACTTAATTGACCATGCTTTGAGTTTGATTTAGGTTTCAACCAATCGCGAGTTCATAAAAATAGAGCTAAACAAGTTTGAATTTTACAAGACTTGGCTCAAATGACTTCAAAAGCTTGCTGAAAATTTCTCCTTCCTCAATTTGTCAAACCAAATCCCAACCGAACCCTCTTCTGGCTGTCCATGGCATTTGGTTTTTCTTTAGGGATAATTTCAAAAACCTCCCTGAGATCACTAACAATTTTACTAGCCTCTCCTAAAGTTTTCAAAATTACACAAACCTCTCTTGAGATTAAAGTTTGAATAACAAAATTAGTTAATTTAAAAAAAAGTAACATTAAAAAAGTACTTTAAGTAGGGAGATGAAACTTTGATTTCATAAATACCCCTTATGCATGAATATAAGTTGTAATAGTAAAAGAATAAAAATAATTAAGAGTTCGAAACAATTAATACACACATTTCACCAATTAAAAAGTTCACATTTAATGAATTAGTAACATAAATAAGCAACAAAATTATACTAATGATCACAAGATTCAACAAAACAAACTAGTCATCTCTTTTAGTATAATGTTTGCTATGATTTTTGTGATTTTAAATAGAAAAATTTTCAAAATTTGCCTTTCTTTTCCCTCCATTCTATGTTTGCTACGAAGGGAAAAGAAAGACAAAATTTGAAATTTTTTTTATTTAAAATCACAAAAATCCCCACCAAGGAAAGTCGCATCATTTTATTTCTGACTATTAAGGAAAAAACCCCACCAAGGAGGCTCGGATATAAATTCAAAGCCAATCTTAATCTAAAAGGTCCACAGGTTTATACATTATGCACTATTTAGATCTATGTGTTAAGACACTATTTCTACCCCTTTCAAACCAATACGACACACTTAAGCCTGCTCATGAACCTAATCCAGCCAAAGTACACATGTAACACATCTTCCGCTTTCATGTTCTGGAGAGGGAAAGAACCAGACAGTTCCTCTTCATCTTTCCCTAATGTTGTGAGATGTTGGCAGCCAACTTTGTAAAGAAATTGTTCATTATGCCATCTCCAAAGTGAGCTTGAAAGATGGGTTCATCAATAGCTCTCAAGCTCCTAGCCCTGTAATTGGCATTGGTGTTTGCATCGCAATCCGCCGCCCCCGCACCACCAATCACTCGCAGTTGAATGGTATCCAGATAACTTAGCTTAAGAGCACGATTTTTCTCAATGATGGTCTTTACTTCTTCCAAAGAAGGCCGGTAATGTGGAGGTTGAAAGTATCAAGTGCTTTTTCCTCAATCAATCCCTATATAGTTTTACACAGATGGTATCATATATTCACCCAGATTGTATATAGATTGAGTGTCTATGAATCATTACCTCTGAAACCATGTCATTCATTGTCATCCCAAGTAAGTCCTGTATGTTATAAGCCACAGGATCATTGATTTTAGGCGCCAAGGTCACAAATAAGTGTCCCTAGACACCAATTCATCAGCACGGGTACTCAAGAAGTTTGTAAAATCTTTGTCAAATTGATCCAAATATGCATCATGCACACTCTTAGGACTTGTTTTACCTATGTAAAATATTGCCTTTGTTCAGTGGCAACCCTTCCTCAATCACCAACCACTCGGGACCTGCAGGAGAGAGGTAGATAGAACAAGAAAAAAAACCAGAAAAAACTATTACAAATAGTAATAATGTAAAAATTATATCAGGCAGTCAGGGGTGTAGATAGATAGATAGTAATGAAAATTAAAATAGTGAGGGTGTGTAAATACCAAAATAGCAGTGTGTGTTAAAGACAATAAAGTAGGAGATTGGCGAACCTGAGAAAGCCAATGAGGCTGTAAGAAGAGTGTATAAAATGCATGGAGTTGTCAGGAAAAAGTCTGCCATAAAAAGAGCCGGGCATAGCTGCAATGAAGCATGACCTTGAACCACGTCCATATGATTCCTCAAGTTTTTGATAAAAACTGGGCAATACTTTGAAAATGGAGTTGAAATCATTGGACACGAGATCATTCAAGAAAACTTGAATATTAGGTAGCTTAAGAATGTTCAAGTTATGGCATTCTCTATTAATGCTATCTATAATGCTTTCAACTGTTAACAACGTATTCGTCCCGTTGCACATCCCAGATCTGCTACTCTTATGCACTCTGCCTCCGCTAGGTTGGCTTGACAAAACCCCTGAATGCTCCGATTGAGTGCATGGTTGACATTCATAAACACTGATCTGTGAAGGGTAGAAACTGATTTTAGAGATTAGTCACAGAATTATATATAGAGGACCGGAGAGAAATCATTTGGACTTCATCTGATATGTTGAAATGTTGAATTTTTAGCGTAGCTTTCGTCATCTTCCCCTCCTTTCATGTGAAGAATTTGTTCCATTTCCAGTACCTTGCTGCTACTCTGCAATTTGGAGTTATGTTAAAGGTGAGGAGGGTAAGGGTAGCAGTAGTAACAATCTAGCTATTGCTATACATGTCAAGGACAAGGGTACTTGGCAGTTGGCAGGAAATAAAATGAGAATTGATCAGAAACAATATTCATCAGTAGTTAAGGGAATATTGAACGGCTTAAACTACAATCAAACTCAATGTGTGAATAAGATATTAAGCTACATTAGTACTATGCTTGACCAGTGAAATGATTTTGACCTGAACTACATATGAAAGTCACTAGAAATATTTGTGGGATGTCAAATATCTTCTGTTTTAATCTGCTTTACTCTCTGACATAAGCATTTGCCAAGCATCACTATCGTTCAACATATGATTAAGTATATATGTTGCTCATGTTCTTCCTAAGCATGCTTTTGTCAACCGATCAAAATGAGTGGGAGCATGATGCTCCAACTTAACTGGTTTTGCTCCTTCTATCCAACCTTAATTGATGGCAAACTCTAAAACTAATATATCAAGATAACTTCACCGAATGAAAATCTTGTAAGATGAGAATAGTTGGAACAAACCTATTTAGAAGGTCAAATTAATCAGTAGTCACTATTTTACCAGAAAGAAATTGAAAATACCACTAGATTTGCTTACTTCTGTCTCTTTATTATGGTAGAAGACACCACATTCTTGACTAACTTAGGAGTTCGATGATTTTCTTTGGGTTAATCTAAAATTCCTTACTAGTTTTGTTCATGTTACCCCCGTTTTGGAGCAATGACACCCCGAGAGGCACACATATATGCTCTATTTGGTTAGTTGATGATGGGGTGTTTCTACAAAAACTGTACATATTAATCGTTTGCATCAGCAACAAAATTCAATAGCTATTCCTTCGTTCAGTGCTCAGAGAAGTGATCTAGCCTTTTAGCCAATTAACGAATTTTGACTTCTTGAACAAAGTATATGAATGTGACAAGCCTGAGACCAAGAAAACAAGAAATTCATTTTCTATTAATATCAAATCGAGAAAGTTGCCAAACAGTAAGGAGAATTACTGGCTAAATGGAAAGTATGAGCAGCGGAACTTTCTCCATCGAGTCAAACACTCTAAAGACAGCTTTCATCTCCAACTTTAACATCATAATATTCCATATACAAAGGGGAAAAAAAAGAAGAAATCTAGTAGAGTACATCCCCACTACCCTAATGCAAATATAATACATACAATCACAAAACAAAATATAAGGGAAATGCTAAGAATAAAGTTGGAGAAAAAAAAAAAAAAAAAAAAGATGAAGAAAGATAAGTACTTGCCTTTGAAAGTATAAGAACTACAAAATCAAAGCAAATACAATATTAGATTTAAATCTCAACCTAGAACATTAGTAAATTGCAGAAATAATAAAAACAAAAACTATTGTAGATTAAGAAATCAAACCTGCGCATATGGTTCAGGCACAAAACTGAACTTTATTAGAAGAATTTGAGAGATTAATGGTGAGATGATGAAGGGAGGAATGATTGATGTGAGAATTCATTGAAGGAAATTAGGTAAAAATTAGGACAAAAGAATGGAAGAAGTCTTGACTGTTGAGCTTGCCGATCAGTAGTAATAATTGGGCTAGGTTGCACCTTCCAAGACTCTTGAATATTTTATCCTTTCAATGCATAGCTGTGCTGGTGTTAAAATATTTTAAAAAGTTTAACTCATATATAATCATTTGAGGCTGGTGAACATAAGACATTGATGAATGTGCGTGAAGAAGTAAACTACTGATCGAGGTTTTATAAGCAAATATATCTATATTTGATAAGTAGTCAATGTATGAAAGCATAGGGAAGAAGAAATTATATTGTAAAAGCAGGGGTGATATAAATATAATATTTACACCCTTGAGGAGTTCTGCACCCAGATTTTGTGAATTTCTTTCCAGTATAATATATTCTTCCACATTGCCTAGTCCATCACCATTGTAGCCCAGAATGTCAAAAGCACCAGCACCACCACAAGCACAATCCAGAGGCTGCTCAACGAAATCTACTTCTCATGTGCTTGTCATCAAAAAGCTGCCTTTGAGGGTCCAATTTTGTTAGTATAAGGGCATCCACAATGGAGTGTAATGATGCGTGTAATACCTGTCATGACATGGATTCATTATACGGTCACCCATTGTGCCGTATAATACCCATTACATGCATTATTCTGATGATACGTACGTGTAATAGGTGGGCTAGTGCCTTTAGACCAATTTTTTTTAAGTCTAATTTTTTTGAAGTCACAACGGACAAAATTTATACCGGCAAGGAAAAGTTAGTAACATTCTTTTTTTTTTTCCAATGGTTATGTTTTAATTCTCTATATAAACACAACACATTCCTTCTTTTTTTCATATCTTATTATCCTACTCTATTATTCCTTTTACTCTCTCACTCATTTTCCTCAACCTCTTTGCACAATTTTTTAAAAAATTTCAATAGTTTGTGATTATGGATGAGAATTTTAGTAGTTTTACAAATATGTTAAATGCTCCAAATATAGAAAATTCATCCTCCTCACAAAATCAAAACTGCCAAAATTTTTCAAATTACCCAAATTACCCATTTTCTGGTATTCCTACAAATGTGCAAAATTATGTATATCCCCTAAATTTATCCAATTCCAACTATCCATCAAATTTCCACAATCTACCAAATTTTTCATACCCAATTCCCATGTATCCTCCACCTACTTATTTTAATCCAAATATGGGAAATCACTACACATCGGGGTATTATAACCTTGGTATGGGTTGTGGATGCTCAAAAACTCCGTCAGAGATAAGGAAGGATTTTGATTTCGTCAACCAACAAGAAAATACTGCATCAATAGAATCAATGTCGGACTCTCAATTCCTACTGTATTCAACACAACGAAGAAAAACTGTAAGCTATGGAAAACTTAGCAAATAAGTTAGACAATTATAATTTTCGAAGTGATTATGAAATCCTATTGAAGGATACCACAGGCATGTCCGAGCAGCAGCTTAAAATTCATGAGCATACATGTTCCATCCTAAAAGCCACTTATAATATTCCTTAGTTTAGTTTTAATTTCATGGTTAGCAATGTAATTTTTAAATTTTGCATATGTGTTGTATCATATTAATCACTTGCATAGTAAATTTATGGAGTAACTAGACACAAGTTATGAAATCCGGCCATGAAAGTAGAAGTCTTTAGGGTAAGCATAAAAGTAGATACAAGCCAGTGCCATTGTTAGTATTAAACGCTAGAATTTTCAATCCAAAGCTATTTTGTTTTCTTCTTTACCGTCCCATACTTCCTTGATCGCTAAGCAAATTTTGATCAAAAGCAGCAGGAGGCTTTTTTTTTTTTTTTTTTTTGCCGCTCGACTCTTTGGTATTCGCTTTTACCTTTCCTGCAATTCAGTTTAGCATATATACTGCCAATTAGCTTTTATGTTCTCTATCATAACCCGTGAATTAATTTATTTGCATTCCCACATTATTTCACACCCAATTCTGGTCTTTAAACCTGCTTCACTTTTTAATAGAAGCAGTTAGCAGAAGTCCCATTTCGATACAAACAAAAATGTACAAACAAGTGTCACATGGTAGTATGGTACTAATGATGCCTGTAATTTCAAGCAAAATGAAATCAATGTTGTTGAGATATGCCAACTTTTTCTATAGATTTTATTAGATTACGTTTAATACTAGAATAATTTAGTTAGTAGTTAAATAAATATTGTTGTTGGAATATTTGTTAACTAAAAATCATATGGTTTGTTAACAAATATTTTAGCTAAGATTTGTTGAGTAGGAGATTATGTTATCATCAAGTGTTTGTTGAGATTTTTAGGATAATTGTTAGTTTGATATTTTGTTAGTTGTTTCATGTAATTACTATAAATAGTAAGTTATGTTATCAAGTTTTTTTTTTTTGCAACACTAAGCCATTGTTTATTAATTCATGCTCGAAAAAAACCAACAAAGTGGTATCAGAGCTTACGTCTTAATGCTTATGTTGTTTTATGAGAGTGAGTGCTTTGTAAGTTCAAAGTCATGATAGGAAAGAACTTTTTGTCAAATGTTTCAATTTTTAGTGGTGAAACTTACCAAATTTAGACTATTAAATTTTGGACTTATTGATAGTCAATAATCTATGGGATATGGTAGACACAAATTTTGTATCGCCAGTATTTGAAAAATCGATGGATGCATAGATTAAAGACCATAGAGTTGCAGTTAGACAAAGATCCAATACCAACATTCACATATCATTTGATGCCGTTTTACAAGGATAATGGCTTATGATTTGATTGAGAATAACTTATTCTCAATTAAAATGAAAAGAAAAAGTTTCACTATGAATTGACAATTCTGAAGTAAAGCATGGTGAAATCAAGAATTCAGATTTTGAAAAAATTTAATAGGAGATCATTGATGAGTTAAGAGGTATCAAATTGATTCATGATATTTATCAAGATTATAATATTGTTGTTTTTGAGTCTACAAGTTTTGATGGTAATGACAAAATGAAGAACTATGTAGAATTTCATATTTATAGTACAAGTTCAAATATTGTCGAATGGTGTTCCACTTTGAACCTATGAAAAGGTTATTTGGAAACATCAAAAAAAAAAAATCTTTTATTTGGAGTTTGGCATGAGAAGACAAAAGAAGTGGATTGTTGCAAGACTAATCTTTAGCTTGCATAAAAATCCAAAAAAAGAAGTTCATTGCGAGGCTAATCACCAGTTGTAGAGTTTCTTATAAAGTCTTCTCCAAAACAAGATCCAAACATTTGAGAAGGCAATTCAAAATCTGTAGCAAAAGTGGCAAGAAGGAGTGTTGAGATATGTCAACTTTTTTGACAGATTTTATTAGATTATGTTTGATATTAGAATAATTTAGTTAATAGATAAATAAATCTTGTTGTTAGGATATTTGTTAACTAAAATCATATGGTTTGTTAACAAATATTTTAAATAAGATTTGTTGACTACGAGATTATGTTATCAAGTGTTTTGTTGAAATTGTTTAGGATAATTGTTAGTTAGATATTTTGTTATTTTGTTTCATATAATTACTATAAATAATGAGTTGATGAATAAATAGCAAAAGCTCATTTTCAGTTTCAATACAAGTTTCTTATAAGTTGTTTTTGCAACACTAAAGTGTTGCTTCTTAGTTTATACAAAAAAAAAAAAAAAACCAACAAATGTGCTATAGTGATTGATTAGTACAACTAATCCATAAGAAAAATGAATAGCTTAATCCACTTAACAGAAGATGAGTTAAGTTCCTATCAATCTTTTCTCTCTTGTCATCTTTCTCTTGGTCTTGGGCCTCTACCTTTGCTCCATCTACCTTGGAACGGAGATTAGACTCTTTAAAAGAAAAACCAATTAAACTGGTTTTGCACCCTATCCAACCTTTATTCATAGTCAAAATCTGAAACAAATAGATGGAGACTAGCTTACCAAATGAATATGTTGTAAAATGAGAACAATTAGAATAAACTTATTCCAGAAGTCAAAATACTCAGAACGTGCTATTTAACCAGAAAGGAATTGAAAAATCTAATAGATTCACGTACTTTTGTGTCTCCATTATGATAGAAGTCACAAAATTCTTAACTAGTTTAGGAGTTTGATTATTTTCTTTAGACTAATATCACACTTCTTTGGTAGCTTTTATCATGCACCTCTGTTTTGCAACAACGACATCCCGGGCGCATACATTTGTTTGCATCATCTCAATTTGCCACTGACAAATAACTTTCTGTTTTAGATCAACTTGGTAGTCGGTGTATTGCAACGAAATTAGTAGTTATTTCTTTATTGTGCGTTATGGAAAGTGATCTAACCTCCTAGCCTATAAACATGTTTTGACTTCTTGTACACAAAAACAAAAAAAAAAAAGAAGAAGAAGAAGAAGAATACAAGAAGTGTATCGCAGAACATTCTGCCTGGAAAAAGAGTACATAAAAGCACTTAAAGATACACCTATATCCAGTAGCAGGCTAACAGCAGTAGGTAATATAAATATCATAGCAAACCATATGTAGGATCCTTGGGAGGCTTTCTACAATCTGAGAACTTACAAACATGCAGGCTCCCCTTTTCTCGCTACAACCAGTGAATAAGAACAATTAATCTGAATATTGCAACGTTATCGTGGCAAGAACCCATGACGAGAAATGGCAATCTCAAATGCCCGCATTCTATCTCCTCTTGCAAGACCATTGCGATCATATGATGAAATTTCATTTATGTCAAGGTCGATGCATGCCTTGACAAGCTCTTCACCAACACGTTGAGCAGCTTCCTGATATCATCAATTACCTAAAATCATATCTAAATTTGATACAGTTAAACCTCATTTGGTCAAGGACAAACTCAGCTTATCCCATTTAAAAGCATTGAAAAGAAAGAATAAAAAAGGAAATTTTCAACTATTTATATGTTTCCAATTGCATCCAGTTTACCGAAATTTTGGTGCATAATTTGGAAGGGAGTACAGAATTGTGGTGTTAATTTGGGAGGGGGCACTGACAATGGTGGTGCAAGATGGATCCTGGCGAATTGATTTCTGTAGAGTGCTTCCATAGAACAAACACCTTTTGTTCTGATCATTTACTACCATAGCATATAACTGCTTACCTGAATAGAAAACTGATAGCCTTGGATTTGTTGTTGTGCCATTAAACTGGTCAAAGACGCAAGAACCATTATTTGCAAAGATAAGTGGAAAAGCTAGAACACTAAGCAAGTTATTCCATAACTTAAGATTGCATACAAGAATGAAACCTGCATGATGAGCTCATTGCAAATGAGTTCCTCAAACTCCACAAACAAATATCTGAAGTCCTACTTGTCAATTTGCCTTTCCATGTATTCTGACTTGCATTATTGGAGGTTTGGTACTCATTATGATGAGTTAAAACAACACCAAGTGACTACTACTGTTATTTAAGATATATTCAAGGAGCTGAATTTGTAATGAGACAACAAGACAGACAATTTGGAAATCGATGTGCCCAATAGAAGTGAAGAAAACTCAAATAAAGCTGCTAAATCTTTTGAATGTCCTCATTCCCGGAAATTCTATGCCTTAACAGCTGTTAAGCCTAACCTTGAATAAGGTTCTGAGTTGCTCAATACTTAAGAAGATTATTCCACAGTATTTTTGAAGGAAAAAGTTATTCTTTGTATGGTGAATTGCTCTAACCAAATTGTTCTAATTTACGAAGGGAAGAAGATGTTGTGGGGGCATCTTTTATGCATTTAAGGTTGACTAGTAATAGTTCACGTGCTTTGCACGTGATTGTAATATCTTAAAATATATTATTTTTCAGATACTAAATTTTTTATGAAATTTTGATCATCAACATCATAATAATAGTATTTTTATGTTATTTATTTTTTAGCTAGTTACTTTAAAATTTTATTAAATGAAAAGAAACAGAAAACATTTCAATATAGTTGACATATCCTTAAGTTTGAATTTGAAATCATGAACCAAAACACTTTTTGATTTATAGCTTGAACTCTAACATATCAAATATTGATAATATCATGTTTACCAAAATTATTGTATATTCATGACTCTATTGCATATAAACCACAATCATCACAATTTTTTATAAACGAAGAATATAATTAAGTTAGAAAAATAAACATAAATGTAATTTGAATTCTTTGTATTATGTTAATTCTATGTTTGTCAATAATGGAGTATAAATGATCCATCACGTAAATTTTTTTTGACTTGTACATTCTATCAATTGAAATTTTATAGATAGAGATAGTTGGAGTTTTTCTATTTTCCTTTTCTTTTATTCATGTTTTTAGCACAATCCAATGTGAAGCAAGAGCAACAAGTCTACTTTTTTCATATGAGCACAATATTTTTGGTTTTAATAGTAGTTTTTTTTATGATAATGAAATTGGAATGAGAATTGTGGCCTAATTAATAATTTTAATATTAATTTTTTGTGCAGTGTTTTAGTTTTTAATTGCTAACTTTGAATCCATAACTGCTATCATTATTATCAATTATTGGAATGCATTAAATTTGTTTAATTACAATTGTCACCATAAATGAAATTTAATTAATTTTAAAGCTTTTCATTTCATAACCGCTTCCATTATTCACTAATATTGCAATACAATAAATATATGTAATCATTAGAAAAATAAGGGTATTTTGGATATCACCAAAAACAATTTGGATATCATTTTCATTTTATCATTCTTCATTTTATATGTACTCTTATTATAATTCTTATTTTATCATTGGAGATGGTTTCTGACTTGATGGATGGATTTGGTTTGTTCAAACCAATACAAATGAAGTATTACTATATTATTGTCAATAACAATGTTTGTCTTTCCTTGGATATTAGTGATTTGGATGTTGTCTTTGGTATTATTTGAATTGTATTCTAACTTTTTAATTCATTTTCTATTTACTTTATGTCATTTTATAAATAGTTTTCAATCTTATTTTAGTTTTTCTTGTTTTGATTGGTTGCTATTAATGATAATAGTGGTTTGTATGGTGCTATTTTAGATTTCTTTTTTAAGTTTAATACTGCTATTTCAGTTATAAAGGTGTCATCATTTTTTGTATATTGAAATTTTATTGGGTGCAACATGAAAAATTCTTCATATTGGTAAAAGTGCATAATTGTAAAATTGACTCATGATATTTGTGTGAAGATATACAGATAAATAAGGGTTTTGCTTGTCATTGTATGTTTCTCCATTTTCTAGAGAATATCTTTTTTTTAAATTGATTTTTTTTAACAATCTCAACTAATGACTAATGAGAAATTTTTCATGCTTCAATTAAGAAATTTTGATACGTATAATAATAGGAGATGGAGTCCAAGGGTAGATAAATAGTTTTTAATGAGGAATTTTTAATTATAATTACCAATACCATTAAAATGTAATCAATTGAAGTGTTTTATTTCTTTTAATTAGTGCCACTTAAAATGCAATAATTATAATTAAAAGACATGAGGGTAATTTAGGAATAACAAAAACTAAGATAAAAAAGTGCTTACACTTGCACTCCCTAATACCAACATTCATACTTTTTATATAGTAATGATAATGATAGATATTAATTTAAGAAGACTTTAGCTAAATATGCAATGAGAGTTCATTTTGGGCTGCTATAGTGAATGTCAATCAGTTTGGCTTGTAACATGAATATTGTGACGCCCCCACTTCTCCCAAGAGCATACCCAAGGGTATCGGCGGCACACCTGCCTAGATCTCGTCAGGACTCAGGCCCATTTATACTTAAACTAACGAGCAATTAATGGCTAAAAGGGCAAATTAAATAAAATTCGTTTCCTTCAATATATTCAAACTTACAACACAAGAATCCAATATATACATTCAGATTTCCAAAATACAAGTCCATAACCAGCCCTTGAATTTCATTTCCAAAGTTCTAAAATATCAAAAACAAGTCGATCTCTTCAAAACATCTCCGATCCAGATTCCTGTTAAGGAAAACAACTAATGGGGTGAACAATCGCTCAGTGAGGCCACATATATATAACATGCGCACGTAGTTCAAGTAACATGATCAAGTGATCAAAAGTAATTGTCATGTAGTTTCAAGTATCGGCAAGTACTCATAAACACAAACAATTCAAGGATACTGGAGCTCTCCGGAGCTCATTTTCAGATTATTTGCCATAGTCCCGATCCATGAACCAAGGGTTGACACTCTGTCAACCGAATAAATATCCAATCTGTAGATCTCCACTTACTTCCCTCCATCCATCATTTCACCCTCTCGGATCCGTAACCAACAGGCATGTAAAGGCGATACTATACAAGTATGCCAAGCAAGATCTCAAAAGATCAAGCTTCAGGTCCCAAGGTTTACCAAGTTTTCCTGACCAAGACCTCACAATTGGCTGCGACATTACGAGGTTTAACCATTGGGTTTGGGCGTCCCCACAGGTCAGGTTTTCAGAAACAAATCAAGTTTTAGTCGATGAGATTTTCTTTGCATTCGACTTCAGGTCATGTACATGTAAAATCTAGTAATTTCATGTAATTCATGTAGCAAGTCATGTATTGATCCAAGTAAAGGAGATGAAGTGCGGTAAAGTACACACTTCCCTCAACAAGTATAGTTCATATAACAACAAGTTCAAGTAGAGTTCATGTAGGCAACAAATTTCAAGTGAAGTACAAGTAAACATGCACTGATAGGGTGTTAATTGTTAGTAATTTTATTGTTAATTTTCCTTTTTATCCTTGCCAAATATTGCTTTAATTTGCTTTAATTGTCAATATATATTTATATTTGGTATTTGGATATAATTTCAGAAATTGGAGCAGAAACCTCTTGAGAAGATTATTGTGAAGCTTTACACAATTTTGGTGGCAAACCAACGAAGAAGAATGGAATTGCATTTGGGAATTCAATTTGGCTAGACAAATTGGTGGGACCGCAAATTAAAATGGAGCAGAAACCTTCTTGAGAACATTATTGTGAAACTCTATACAATTGGCCCATATGCATGGTGTAAACCAACGTCCATTTCTTTCTATGATGAAAAGGAATTGAATTGCATTTGGCTGGCCAACATCTCAATTAGGTGGGGACCGCGAAGACTGACCATTGTGTAAAGACACATTTTTGGTTTGCTTTCTTATTTGTGAACGTGTGCACTTGGTCAAAGGAAACCGACAAACCATAGTTGGCTTTGCTTTTGTTTTCGGTGGAGTTGATTAGGTAGGGAAGGAATGTTTTCTTTTGTGAGCGTGGAGTGAAGTTTCGAATTGGCTTGTTTTTATGCGGGGGAGAGCCGCACATTTCCGCAGTCAGTTTTTCTTCTTCTCTTCCGTCTGTGAAGAGAAGTTTTTAGTTTTGGGGTGAAGATTTCTTGTGTGTCTTGTTTTCTTCCGTCTCTTCCATGAGACTATTTTTATTGTATTAGATTACAGAGAATACAATTCTTATTTTTAATTATTAGTAAGAGATAAATGTCTTTGAGTTCAATTGAATTGTGTGAAGATTTTCTTATGAGGCGTGGCTAATTTTCTCCTCTAGTCAAGGATCAACGCGAAGACGCAGTCCCAAATATCTGTGAGATCTAATTAATTTTACATGTTCCTTAATTTGTTAATATTTGCATGTTTTCTATTTTAATTTCCATGGGATTATTTTGTTAATTGGATATCAAGGGCCGATGTGCAATTTGACTTATTAATCTCTTGTCAAATTAATCAATTAAATCCGTAATTGTTTAGTTGGTTAATATTAGTGACAACTAGTATTTTCACATACTAGGGGACATGCAATCTGATTTAAATAACCCTCGTAGCGTGTTATTAATTTGGGTTAGACTTTTCTAGTTTTTAATGCAATTAGGAAATTAATTCCTACGGTCGTACCTAGGAGTATTTCCTGGTTAGGGTAATCAACGGTCGTACCTTGGTTATCAATAAATTAAGGAAAAGCTGGTCGTTAGAGCTTATCGACGACTATAACTAACCTGTTAATTAAATTAAGTGAACCTTCTTTGCATCAATGATCGGATGAATGGACTGTGTCTGCGTAGTTGTATCCTTGGCTAGAATTTATTTATCATTTATTTAATTGCTATTTACAATTGTATTAATTAATTATTTATTTTTGGTTAATTATTTTTAGTTAAATTGTTTAATTATTTATTTTTAATTTCATTTTGATAAAAATCCCCCGTGTCTCGAATTTAAAAAGAATCAAATTTTTTCCAGTCCCTGTGGATTTGACCCTGCTTACTACTATACACAGAAAATTTATTTTTCTTAAGCAGGTATTTATTATTGCACAGGCACGACACCTGTCAATTTTTGGCGCCGCTGCCGGGGAC